CAGACCAGCCTGGGCAACATGGTGAAACCCCATCTCTACTAAAAATACAAGAGAGCCCGGCATAGTGGCAGGTGCCCACAGTCCCAGTTACTTGGGAGGCTGAGGCATGAGAATTGCTTAAACCCAGGAGGCAGAGGTTGTAGTGAGCCAAGATTGCACCACTACACTCCAGTCTAGGTGACAAGTGAGACTCTGTCTCAAAAAAAGAGGTTCCCATTGAACCTGGACGCTCGGGCCGCGGGGACAGGTTCCTCTGAGAAGAGACAGTAGTAGCCACAGAGGCACGAGGCTCCCCAAGGGAGGCGACCACCCGGGGCTCCAGGAAGCAGAAGGGTTCTCTGTGACCCAACGGTAGGGGCTGGGGCGCTGGGGCTCCCATCTGTGGAGTGAGGGGGTCCGGGCCGTGAAGCCCCATCCCCTGAGTACTATATGGGAGTTGGCAGGGAGGTCAGGTCCTCCTAAGGAGGTGTCCGCTGCCCCGGGGGGTGTGAGGTTGCCCGCATTTGCACATACAGGAAGCTGTACCTACCTGGAGTTGGGCGCTGGTGGGGGGCTCCGGCCTGCCCATAAGCAGAGAGTGGGCCCAGTCGGATGGTGCGTGGGGCGGCACGTCCTGGGAAGGCTCCTCCTCCAGCCGCCTGCAGGACCGAGACAGGACAGAGCGTGGTCAGGCCAGCAGTGGCCCTGAGCTGGGGGCACATCAGAGACGCTGGGGACTCATGCTCCCAGCAAGGAAGGCAGGGCCGAAGCTTTTGCTGGGGCTCCGCTGCACTGCATGGGCGCCTGCTGTATGCACAGAAGACTAAGGCTGGGAAGGCTGGTGTTGAGGGGAACCAAACACCCCTTAGGCAAAAGAGGCCCAGCCTGGGCAGCCGCAGCCTTCAGGAAGTCCTGGTCCCCTTCCCAATGCAGACCTGCTGCTGCTGGACACACCAGAGTCACATGTTACATCAGAAAATGCTCTGGGACGGACACAGGGGACTCCAGAGGTCAGGGACACTGGGACACCGGGGGTTAAGGGGACACAGGAGACACTGGGGATGAGGGGACACTAGGAGATCAGGGGGACACAGGGGACTCCAGGGATCAAGGGGACTCAGGGGATACCAAGGGTCAGGAGACACAGAGACACCAGGGGACACAGGGACACCGGGGTCAGGGGACACCAGGGTTCAGGGAACGCAGGGGCATCAGGGGTCAGGGGGTCACAGGGCACACCAGGGGTCAGGGGGACACCAGGGGTCAGGAAAACACAGGGGACTCCAGGGGTCAGGGGTCACAAGGCACACCAGAGGTCGGGGATACAGGGGACACAAAGGTCAGGGGACACAGAGGATGCCAGGGGTCAAGGGGACCCAGGGGACACTGGGGGTAAGGGGTCACAGAGGACACCAGGGGTCGGGGGACCCAGGGGATACCGGGGGTCAGGGAGACACAGGGGACACCGGGGGTAAGGAGTCACAGGGGACACCAGGGGTCAGGGTACACAGGGACACCAGGGGTGAGGGGACCCGGGGCCACCAGGGGTAAGGGGACACAGAGGACACCAGGGGTAAGGGGTCACAGAGGACACGAGGTGTCAGGGTACATAGGGACACTAGGAGTCAGGGGACACAGGGGTCGGGGGACACAGGTCACCAGGCACCTCTGCAGCCATGCGGTCCAGTGAGTTGGCAGGCAGTGTCCCTGCGTATGCAGAGGCGCCTGGCACCCACATGTCAGGTCTGCACACCACTGTGCCTTTGCCCGTCTGCTCTGGAACCCTCTCTCGCTCCCACACCAGGACGTGCCCACTGCCCGGGCACCCAACTCCCCCCACTGCCTGAGAGCTCACACGGGGGATCCCCATAATCTGCAGCGGCGGGCGTCTGGTTCCACGCTGGACCTGCCCTCCCTCACCAGGCCCCCTTGCCAAGACCCGCAGCCTGGCACCTCCTCTCCACGTGCCAGCGCCGCAGTTGCTCCAGCCGCTCCTCCGCCAGGTGCCGCTGCTTCCTCATCCGCTCCTCCAGGAGCTTCCGAGCCCGGCTGCTGGGCTCCGTGGCAATGGGAAGGTCTGGGTTCACTTTCTTCTGGAAAGGAGAGGCAAGGCTCTGAGAGTAGGGACCTTGCCTTAGACAGGGATGCCGGGAGGGTCTTGGGGTGCAGGGAGAGGCCCAGAGACTAGAACTGTTGGGCTGAAATCTCCCAAAGACTTTTTTTTTTTTTTTGGAGACGGAGTCTCGCTCTTGTCTCCCAGGCCCACGTGCAGTGGTGTGGTCTTGGCTCACTGCAACCTCCGCCTCCCGGGTTCACACCATTCTCCTGC